CTGGTCACAACTGGCGGTCCGCGCTAGAGTAAGAGTACTAAGGGGACCCGAAGATTTGAAGGCCGCGGGCGGGGAAGGCATAGCTGGACTCCGGGGAACCGGCGGGGTCGGGTGGCGGGGGCGTTTGGTCTCGGGGCGCCTTTGTCTTCCGTGGCGCCGCCCGCCGCGCACGAGGTGGATTCCTCCTGGGAGTCGGTCCCTGGGAGGCTCTAGGGGGCGGCACCCCAGAGCGGAGGGTCAGTGGTGGCTGCTGGTGGGGCTGCCCCTGAGTGCTCTCCCCTCCCAGGCCGATGGGTTAGCCTGGGTGCCATTTATTTTAAAATGTAAGCAAACTGCTCCCAACACACTCACTTATGTGCCTAACCCTATTATTTCAAGGTTATTTCCAGCTTTCCCCAACTCTGGAGACGGGCCTCTGACTGTGACCTGAAAAATTGTTTCACCCAGGCCCCTGGCAACATAAGTGTCACCAAAGCCCGCTGTTTCACCCTCTGGGAGCAGAGGAGCCCTGGTCCAAGCTGAATGTTTAGGGGTGCCCCTTCCCCCCAAAACCAACCTGGGCCCTTGAGATTATGATTAGAATGAGGTACAGAAGACACTGGTTAAAGGAAAAGATTCGTTGAAAAGCACGGCAAGAAACTGGGCTACCTAAAGGCTAGTTTCTGCTTACATCGCACTAAGACAGTGACAGAAAAGGGGGCCTGGGTGCATTTTATCAGGAGGTGGAGCTCCTCCAAATGTTCAGGATGGCTCATGCACAGTGGCAGGTCATGAGTCTACCTAAGGATTTTAAGTCATGATACAGATGATGAGCGTTTTGTTTTGTTTTTGTTTTTTTTTTGATATTTAGCAAAGATGAAGCAGGCATGAAATTATTTAGCTGCCTTCTCTTTTAATCATCTTCCAGTATGCTAATTATTTATGACATTTTTGCCCTTTTATGTTCTTGATAACTGTGTGCACTGATGGGATAAATTTGTAAAACAACTGCCCAAATAATTCTGAATTTAAGAAGGATATGGATGAGAAGACACAATTAACTTGTGGAAGTTATTGATCGCAAAGTCAGACTACAGAAGCAGAGGAGTTGAGATGTAACCTGGTAGACTTAGTGTGCACAGAACACACTCTGAGATGGGGCTGAAGGAAGGAGACTCTAGATTTCCAATTACTGCTCTGATGCTGTCTCTAGGGTCATAAAAAAACTAGCCCTAAATGGTCATGGTGCAACAGATCAGAGTGAATTAGGTTCAGTCCATTGAAGTAGCCGAGAAAAAAAGCTTTAATGTACATGGCAGATCTTTTCTAATGAAACCTACTTCAGAGTGGAAAACACAGCCTTCTGAAGCAGGTGTAAAAGCTAGGACTTTATTCAGAAGACAGACCAACTATCCCCAGGTAAAGCAAAGAAATCAAATGAATTTTCGTATTTTCTTCGTCCCGGTGGTGGTGATGATAAGGCCGCCTCTCTCTTTTCTCCCTTACATCTCTCTCTGCCTCCATTAGTTCTCTGTTTATGAATTGTTTGTCCCCTTACAATTCAGGTCTAGTCTTTGTGAAAGTAGATCTGAATTCCAAATCCTGGCTACATAGAAACCCATGCTGGTTGAAGCATGTGCAATACAACTTTTCCCTCCTATGACTCGTGAAACAGAACATTATGTTTTTTACTTCATTTCCCACCTCTAACAAGGATACTCTGTCCACTGGTCATTTTAAGGTAAAGGAGCAGGAGAATGTTACTGCACAAGGACCTACAAAGGCTAGATTCACACCCCAAGATGTGACTCCCATTATTTTACACCCACTTTTTTTAAGGTCTTCACGTATTCTTTTTGATCACAGTCACTAATTTGCATTCTTATCTTATTCTTTCTATGAGACAATAAGTTCCTGGAAGATAAGGACTCCCCTTTACTCATCTGTCATAATCCCTACACAGACATTTTTGGCCTTAATAAGCTCTTGACAAAAGTCAGTTGAATTGAGGAAATGCTTTTATCCTTCCCCAAGTGTCTGTCCTAGCCCAGTTCTGAAAGTGGTTTTGGTGGTGAACCATTTCTCTAAAGCAGTAGTTCTTAATTTTGAATGTGAGTCAGAATCACATGTAAAGCAGGTTATAACACATATTATGAAATGGCATAGGCTTGTGAGTTTTATAAGTACTCTAGAATTTGACTAGTGGTGCACATGCACATCTATAGGAATATCTTGTTCCTGGTCTCTTAAATATGTTGATATATATTTGATTATTGGCTTTGCATACTCCCATCTGTATGATATTGAGCAAATGATGATTTCTTGTGGTTCAGTTTCAACATCCATAGCTTGATCTTTGAAGGCTTTTTTTGATTAGCTCAGGGCAAAAAGCAAAAGCACTATAGAACTGCAAAGGTATACAGTGAACCTGATTTTTGTTTGTTTGAATGACTTACCATTGTTTTACGTTCTTGTTAATTTTTTGACAGTATAGGATTTCCTCCCTAAGGTATGGTCTCTGTAGCTCTCCCACCAGCAAAACATCCATAGTCTTTCAACATAGCCCCTTGCACTTTCCCCTCCACCTATTCTCACCTGTTTCCCTCTTCCTGGATGCCTCAGATCTGTGGTCAGTTTTCAAGGGTTGGTTTTAAAGTTTGTCTCCTCTACATTCCACATATAAATGAAATCATCCAAACCTTATGTTTTTATGCAAACACTGAACACTTTTTTTCAAGCCGCAGTTAGCTCAACTCTTTCAATGCTATGGTCTCACTCATAGCAGGAATCTAGAAAACTTAAATAAGGGACCAGGAAAATGAATAACTATAAGAAAGTGAAAATCAAAATCAACAAAAAACTATGAACCAGAGACACTTTTTGGGGGGTGAGGGGCGGGAGGGGAGGGATTGGGGTCAGAATGGGGGGGTTTGCAATTTTATGGGGAATATGAAAATAAAATTTATTATTAAAAATAAATAAATAAAAATAAATACTTAAGCAAAAAATAATTCTATATTGAAATAGCTATCTCAAGCATATGCATAAGTCCATGTTCCATAATTATGTACCATATTGCAAATTGGTGGGGGAAAGGTGGGAATTAGGAAGTGGGGAAAGTTTTCAAGTTGAAATAAAACAGTCATTATACACATGGTCCAGCTAAGCAGTAACTTTTCTGACCAAGGTCCTTCACAGCCTCTCGAACCTGGAGGGTTGATTGGAGTTTCCTTAGCCTTGAAAATTCTTGAAACTTCCCTATATAACTTCCTTTCTGAAACCCAACACGTTGTGCATGATAGTCACACTTCACTATTTAAACTAACAAGCCAAGGATTGGGGTGAGAATTTGGTCAAATTTAGTCTTGTTATATGAAAAATAAGTTAATGGGTTAAAAAGTTAAGTCGGGGGCCTCCCCGGTGGCGCAGCGGTTGAGCGCTGGGTTGCGAAGCTGCCCGCGGCCTCTGCGGCGCCGGTTCGATCCTCGGCTGCTCCCCGGCCACCAGAGGAGGGTCCCACATGGCGCGCAGACCTCTCCTGCCGCCCGCTGCTCCCCTCAGCAGTGTACTTCGGTCCTTCTGCCTGCTCTGCTCCCGGCTCTGGCTCTGGTGAATTCTCTCACCCTCCCGCGCTTCTGACTGTACCCAGTGCATGTATAAACAAAACAAACAAACAAACCAGCAAACAAATAAATAAAGCATGCCTCTATAAAAAAAAAAAAAAAAAAAAAAAAAAAAAAAAATAAAAAGTTAAGTCGGGGGTGGGACTTACTTACCAGAGGGCACGTGGCACCTAACTAGCTGAGCTAGGAGAGGAAACTTCCTTGATTCTGGCTATGTTTCATTAGCTTGCAAAACAGTCCTCTCCTCCTTAACTTCTCCCCCAGACCTATGGTTTCCGGAAGCAAGAGACACCCCCACACACAGTCCTTTTGGAGCTGGCGGGGAGAGGAAGGATTAGGGTCAAAATAAGGGGGGGGGTGCAATTGTATGGGGAATATAACCAAAATGAAAATGCATACATTGTGCAAAAATGAAAAATGATGTAAGAATTCTATAAAATAAAATATTTTTAAAAATTAAGTCAGGATAAAAGACCAGGATGGACTAATGTAGTGTGGAAACATTTTGTTAAATAGGCATACTCCTCCCAAATTTAGAAACGGACCAATTCAGAGGTCCTCCCCTCACTGGTAACTTGGACAGTACAGTGAAAAAGTGGACTAAGAATAAAAAGATCAACACGAGGGCACTTAGAATTCAGCACTCTCTGGATCAACGTGATCTCTGAGGTTTATAATTGGTTTGTAACGAAGAACATGGCAGATACTCAACTGGAAGAATCAAACAAAAACCTAATCTCCCTTTCAAATTTATAGTGTTGACCCATCACGATTCAGCTTCTAGGATCAGTCTTTTAAAATGATTCTTTATAAAATGAGTGTTTAATAGCCTATTTGTCTTGTGTGTAGTATTCATTTACAAGAAAAATCTTCAAAACATATTTCTGTGATTTTGAAACCCTCTCAGTTCTTCATTTCTAAGGTTATATGAGCACCGTGAGGTGAAACAAGTAAAAACTAGTGTTCCTCTTTCCTAAATGATTATTTTTAATTTTTTCCCCCTGGGGAAGAAGGGATAATAACTTTGGATAGTTCTTCACCTGTGGGGGAATGGGGGACAGGGCTTGAGATGAAGTCCTAGATATTGAGGGTCTTCAAACCTACAGTGAAGGGAATGACCCAAAGCCTCCTAATGGGAAATCCCTATCACCCAGGGATGTGTTCCTGCTTGCCTTTCCTGACCTCTTGGTTTCCATGGCACCCTATACCTGTCTTCAGTATCACTATTGGGGGAGTGGTTACCCTTTGTGTGCTGGTTTTGGACTCTACCACTTAGATTGAGTAGTAGGGGTGTGCCCCACCTAGGTCTCCATCCTATCTATGGTCCCATCCCACCCTTTTCTGCTGATCTCCCCTCTTGCCCTGTCCACAATGGTACATCCCAGGGCTATATAAGGGAGGTGCAGGGGCTTCACCACCAGATGCAGCTGTGAGACAGCCAGTTTAAAGACACAGGGTAAGTAAGGTGCCAGCTCCAAAAGGACTGTGTGTGGGGGTGTCTCTTGCTTCCGGAAACCATAGGTCTGGGGGAGAAGTTAAGGAGGAGAGGACTGTTTTGCAAGCTAATGAAACATAGCCAGAATCAAGGAAGTTTCCTCTCCTAGCTCAGCTAGTTAGGTGCCACGTGCCCTCTGGTAAGTAATTGCCCATCCTCTAGACCTTGATTTCTCTTCTGTTTGCCCAATGCTAAACTTCCTTGATTTCAGGAAAGGCAGCCCCACTGCTCCCAAGTTCTTCTTCCCAAAAGGCTGTTTGGGAACTATAGCTGTTCTATGGAGATGCCCTTGATACCCTTGTCCCTAACCTCCTCAACTGGCAGCAGCAGGTTTAGTGGTCAGAGCACACGAAGGCAGTTGGAGAACCCCCTCTCCCCACATCCCTTGGTCAGAGTCAGATCTTACATCAATAGCAGCTTGACTTTTCTTCTCAATTCCAGATAACATCAAGATGCCCAAGACTAAGGAAAGCATGCTCCAGAATAATCCCAATGAAGCAGAAGGTGAGGCCAACAAGCCTACAACACCAGGGCAGAGCCAAGAAGACAACTTCTGTTTAGATGACCACTGTCATGGTAGGTCTAGAATTTCACCATCATTTCCTTGGGTAATGCTTGGTAACAGTGAGGTTAGAGGAACAGCTTGTAGCTTAAGTGCCTTTTAAAGAGCACAGAAGGCTCTTGACTTGCTTAACATTTTTCTTTTCTTTATCCTTCCATTACTCCTCTTGGATCATTTTCCCCTTTTTTGCCTTCTAATCTTTACATGTATATGACCTAGGCATTAAATTAAAAGACATTTTGACTCTAGAGAAAGAGTCCCACAAAGCATAATTACTTGTCTTTGACAAGACTTGGCAATATTTGAGTTCAAAGCCTGGGATTATAAGTTGCATTATTGTATTTTTATTTTGTAGATTGTAAATGGCAGATAAAAGATAGATTTGAAAGAATCCAAATAATCTAGTGCTGGAATTGTGTTTTGTCCTTTTCCAGGGGCATGTTGTTGACCTAAGGATTATCACAGCTCCAGAGTAAAATTCTTAAGATCTGTAATAACAGTGTTTTTGTATACACAGGAACATGAGGTACCGGTTCCTCCCATAGCTTATGGTAGGCAATTGAAGTTTTGGTTTGACTAGCCCAACCTCATAGGAATTCAAATTGAAGTTCTCTTATAATAATCTCCAGTGAATTTAACCAAACATTAGTCTAAAGATCTGTTAACAAATGTAATGACTAGATCTGAAGTTTTGAAGACAAAAATGGGAAAAATAGTTGGAAGACATGATACTATTAAGTTAAATGGTATGTTTCTTTGGTGGCCCCTTAAGGTCACTGCTAGAAAACATTATGTTACAATTCTTAGTTCATAATGTATTTCAAATACTTAATTTAATGACTTGATTAGATAGCATATTTTGATATATAAAACTTTAGTTAGGGTAATAAGATGGATTGTTGGTACTAACTTGTTGAAAGATTTTTTTTTTAATTAACAGTAAATGTATATAGATCACCTCCTTGTAAGCTTTAAGATTCTTATATGTGAGTGCTGTTGTATCTTGGGGACAGATAGTTCTTTCTAAATAAGTTAGGGAACTATATTGAAAGTGAGTGATGAGTTTTATTGCACGTTTTAGTTTATATATCAAGTATACCAAGTAATGATTGTAATTACTATATGTGTATTGTAATTACTGTGTACCGATGTTATAAGTAGTCTGTATAATGAACTTAAAACAGTGATTCTCAAACTTCAATGCTAGTATGTGACAAGTACTATTAACATTCTTACCAATATTAAATGAAATGAAACAGAGATGTTGTAATGAGGTTTTTAAAAATAAAATTAAGTTGATTCAACTCAAAGGATTAATCTTAATTCTGACGCTTCTGCCTTTTGGGATGATAAAATATACTTTTTTGTGTAATTATTTGGATGAGGATAAAGTGAGTTTTATGTTTATTGTATAATGTTCATATATGGAAAAATAAAAACTGACAAATTATGGTCAGTCACTCATTTAAAAAAATTCTATTGGTATGTAGAGTCTTCAGATTCGGGAACCATGGTTCAACCTTAAAGCCATCTAGTAAGATTTGTGGTGCTATCTGAAAGGAGACTCTCATCTTGTGCTCCTTCCTCTCTCATCAGATATAGGAAAAGGATAGTGGAAACAGTGCTTTTTGGGTAAACATTTCTTTATAAACCACAAACGTCACTGTTTATTTCCTCCATTTATTTGTTGTTTTAACCCTTCAAGTGAAAGGTCTTGAAATCAGTCTTACTTTTTGTTTTTCATAACCTTTTCTCTGTCCCATGCCTGACTTCTCTGAGAGTTTCTATTGCTATTAAAGGGTAAAGAGTTCAGAAAACCTCAAATACTAGAATGAGTGAGCCAGTGTAAGATTCTTTTGATGAATCTAAATTTGGGGTCCTTACTTGGCTTAGTGAATTTTTGAATAAAATAGAAATTCTACTTGTGTGGGTTCCCTGTTAATAGTTGCGGTCTTTTTCCAGAGAGCCAATCTGAAGTACTTCTCATCACAAATCTGATAGAGACAGTTAACGAAGTTTCAAAGCTTAGCATTGCTCATGAAATTGTGGTAAATCAAGATTTTTGTATGGAAGAGAGTGTTTTACCATCCAACAGGTACAGATTCTTCTATTTGTCCATTTTACTCTTCGTGGCATAGGTACATAGCACAAATGACGTTGGATCAGGTTTTTGAAGTATTTTCATAATTCAAATAAAGTTTGAATATGTCTTAAGTGGTGCCAACAAATAAAGCAGAAGTGCAATTATGTAATTATTAGTTTCCCACTCCTTAGCTAACAATGAAAGAGAGTGATTTCAGATCTTTTCAGTCTTGGAGGAAGTAGATACTAGCAGTTACTATTTCAGTAGTCTACAATTAAACAGAAGCAGATGAAAAGATTTCTTTTCTAATGGTGATACTGCCAAGTCTTTATGGAATAAAAGATTTCAGGAAACATTTCTACTTCATAATCAGAACCATAGAGATTCTGTGAACCAAGATCAGAACATCATTGATAAATTATGAACCTCTAAAATCAGACTTTATTCTTGTTTTATTAATTATACTGATTTTGTAATACATAAATAAGAGCTATTCAATAAGTAGAAATTGAATTCTTCTAATGTTTTCATAAGTTACATGGGTAAATTTGTTAGAACTTACATTGTATGGCATTCTAGTTTCCTACTCTACATGCTTCTATTACTTTGCCTCTTTAGGGACTCTGCTACTAAATCACCTTGCTCAGTGTTTCTCTTGAACTTCCCACTCCTTAGTTGGCCCTTGCTTGTTGCCAACAGGTACTCATGCCAGACACAACATCCCAAAGAACATTTTCACCAAACAGGTCTACTGGCATCTTCTTCACAGCCTTCACTGTCCCTGGAACTCTAGTTAGATTTATTTTTCTGTTGGCAGTGGTACAGAGAAGTGAAATTAAGAGAGTGAAGGTTTGTTTAAAGTGGCTGGGCTCATGGTGGTGATAAAGAGTGGATAAATAAAGCAGAGGGAATAATACTATTTAGAACTTGATTTTCATTGTTACTAACATCTTTACTGTAGTATTGTAATGCAAAATGTATACTAGAAAGGAGATTGAAATAGAATGTGGAGTGTGGAGTTATCTATTCGTTATAGATAATTGATGACTGGTTTTACCTTTGGGGTTATAAAATGATATCAATTATGATTGTAGCTTTCAGATATTTATTGAACAAACATTGAGTACTTAGGTGGGAGGCAGAATGTTGAATGTTGGAGACATACAGATGAATAAGACGCTGACTTTTCCATCAAGAAGATTCTGCAGGGGAGACAGTCAAATAGTAGATAGCTGTTGTGTGGTGATAAATTCTTTTTTTTTTTTTTTTTTTCCATTCTCATTTTATTTTTTTTTTAAATATTAAATTTTATTTTTATATTCCCCCATACAATTGCAAACGCCCCATTCTGACCCCAATCCTTCCCCTCCCGCCCCCCACCCCCCAAAAAGTGTCTCTGGTTCATAGTTTTTTGTTGATTTTGATTTTCACTTTCTTATATTCATTTTCCTGGTCCCTTATTTAAGTTTTCTAGATTCCTGCTATGAGTGAGACCATCCGGTATTTTTCTTTTTCTTTTTGGCTTATTTCGCTGAGCATGATCCCTTCCAGTGCCATCCATGTTGCTGCAAATTGCATGTGTTTATCTTTTTTGAATGCTGAGTAATATTCCATGGTATATATGTACCACATCTTCTTGATCCAGTCATCTATTTTTGGGCATTTGGGTTGTTTCCAAAGCTTAGCTATTGTAAACAGTGCTGCTATAAACATAGGAGTGCAGGTGCTCTTTGGAATTGATGTTTCTGTGTCCTTTGGGTAAATACCTAGGAGTGGAATTGCTGGATCATATGGAAGCTCTATGTTTAGTAGGTCCAGAAATCTCCACACAGCTCTCCATAGTGGTTGGACCAGTTTGCACTCCCACCAACAGTGCACAAGAGTTCCTTTTTCTCCACATCCTCGCCAACATTTGTTGTTGCTAGTTTTTTTAATATGTGCCATTCTCACTGGTGTGAGATGGTATCTCATGGTAGTTTTGATTTGCATTTCCCTGATTACAAGTGATGTTGAACATTTTTTCATATGTCTGTTGGCCATTTGCATTTCCTCTTCAGAGAAGTTTCTTTTTAGCTCTTCTGCCCATTTTTTGACTGGATTATTTTCTTTGTTGTTGCTGAGTCTCATCAGCTCTTTGCAGATTTTTGTGATCAGTCCTTTATCATTAGTGTTGGGTGCAAAAATGTTCTCCCAGTTGGTGGGGTTTCTCTTTGTTTTTGTTATTGTCTCTTTTGCTGTGCAGAAGCTCTTTAATTTGATGTAGTCCCAGCTGTTTATCTTTCTCTTCACTATCACTGCTTTGGGTGATGTGTCTGTAAAGATGTCTTTGATGTGCAAATCCCGTAGTGTTTCGCCTATATTTCCTTCTATGTATTTTATGGTTTCAGGTCTTATGTCTAGTTCTTTAATCCATTTTGAGTTGATTTTTGTGTATGGTGTGAGGTAGTGGTCAAGCTTCATTCTTTTGCATGTAGCGACCCAGTTTTCCCAGCACCATTTATTGAACAAACTTTCTTTGCTCCAATGCATAGTCTTCGCTCCTTTGTCAAAGATTAGTTGACCATAAATCTGTGGGTTTATTTCTGGATTTTCTATTCGATTCCATTGGTCTGTATGTCTGTTCTTGTTCCAATACCATGCAGTTTTGATGATTATGGCTTTGTAGTATAGTTTGAAGTCTGGGAGTGTGATGCCTCCATTTCCTTCTTTTTTTTTCAGTAGAGCTTTGGCTATTCGGGGTTTTTGGTGATTCCATATGAATTTCATCAATAATTGTTCTATTTCTTTGAAGAATGCCATTGAGATTTTGATTGGAATGGCATTGAATCTGTATATTGCTTTTGGTAGGATGGCCATTTTAATAATGTTTATTCTTCCAATCCATGAGCAGGGGATGTCTTTCCATTTCTTTGTGTCTTCTTCTATTTCTTTTAACAGTGTTTTATAGTTTCTTTGTATAGGTCCTTTACCTCTTTTGTTAGATTTATTCCCAAATATTTGATTTTTTTTGTTTCGATAATAAAAGGGGTGGTTTTTTTGATTTCTTCTTCTTCAGATTTATTGTTTGTGTATAGGAAGGCTACTGACTTTTGCGTGTTGATTTTGTATCCTGCCACTTTACTGAATTGATTGATGAGTTGAATTAGTTTTTCTGTGGAGATTTTGGGGTTCTCTATGTATATTATCATATCATCTGCAAATAGTGATAGTTTGACTTCTTCTTTCCTATTTGGATTCCTTGGATGTCTTTCTCTTGTCTTATTGCTCTGGCTAGGACTTCCAGTATTATATTGAAAAGCAGTGGTGAGAGTGGACATCCTTGTCTTGTTCCAGATCTTAATGGAATTGCTTTCAGCTTTTCACCATTGAGAATGATACTGGCTGTTGCTTGTCATAGATGGCCTTTATGATGTTGAGGTATGTTCCTTGTATCCCAAGAATTTCAAGGGCTTTTATCATGAATGGGTGTTGCACTTTGTCGAAAGCTTTCTCAGCATCTATTGATATTATCATATGGTTTTTATATTTCTTTTTGTTGATGTGTTGGATAACGTTGATTGATTTTCGGATGTTAAACCATCCTTGTGCCCCTGGAATGAATCCAACTTGGTCGTGGTGAATTATCTTATGGATACATTGTTGGATTCTGATAGCTAAAATTTTATTGAGGATTTTTGCATCAGTGTTCATTAGGGAGATTGGCCTATAGTTTTCCTTTTTTGTGTTGTCCTTATTCGGTTTTGGTATTAGTGTAATATTGGCTTCATAGAACGTGTTTGGTATTGTCCCTTCCTTCTCAATTTTTTGGAAGAGTTTGTGAAGGATAGGCACTAATTCATCTCTGAATGTTTGGTAGAATTCATTTGTAAATCCATCAGGTCCTGGGCTTTTGTTTTTGGGGAGGTTTTTAATTACCATTTCAATTTCGCTGCTTGTAATTGGTCTGTTTAGGTGTTCTATTTCTTCTTTATCTAGCTTTGGGTGATTGTAGAGTTGTAGGAATTTGTCCATCTCCTCTAGATTGTTGAACTTGTTTCCATATAACTGTTCATAGTAGTTACTGATTATTCTTTTGATTTCTGCTGTGTCCGTTGTGATTTCTCCTCTTTCATTTATGATTCTGTGTATTTGTGCTTTCTCCCTTTTTCCTTTGTGAGCCTGGCTAGGGGTTTGTCTATTTTATTATTTTTTCAAAGAACCAGCTCTTGGTTTCATTGATCTTTTGGATTGTTTTTTTAGTTTCAATTTCATTTATTTCTGCTTTGGTTTTTATTATTTCTTTTCTTCTACTGGTTCTGGGGTTTTTTTGTTGTTCTTTTTGTAGATCTTTGAGCTTCGAGATTAGGTTGTTTCTTTGAGTTCTTTCTTGTTTTTTGATGTGAGCTTCTATTGCTATATATTTTCCTCTTATTACTGCTTTTGCTGCATCCCATACATTTAGGATATTGGTGTCCTCCTTGTCATTCAATTCAAAGAATTTTTTAATTTCTTCTTTGATCTCCTCGTTAGTCCAGTGGTCTTCCAGTAGTGTGGCTTTTAATCTCCATGAGGTAGGATAGTTCCTTGCCTTCTTTTTATGATTTATTTCTAGTTTGATGCCTTCGTGGTCAGAAAAGATGGTTGGTATGATTTCAATCTTGGTGTATCTGTTGATGTTTGTCTTGTGCCCCAGTATGTGATCGATCCTGGAGAATGATCCGTGTGCGCTTGAGAAAAATGTGTACTCCGTTTTTTTTGGGTTTAGTGTTCTATAGATGTCTGTTAAGCCCAAATGCTCTAGGTCCTTATTTAGAGCTTTAGTTTCTTTACTTATTTTTTGTCTTGTTGATCTACCCATTGTTGATAGTGGTGTGTTGAAGTCTCCCACTACGTATGTGTTTCTCTGATGTCTGTTTTCAGAGAGGACAACAGTTGTCTGATATATTTTGGTGCTCCTTCGTTTGGTGAGTATATGTTAATGAGTGTTATTTCTTCTTGAAGTATTGTCCCCTTAATCATAATGTAGTGACCATTGGGGTCTCTTTTTATTTTTTTGAGTTTGAAGTCTGTTTTATCTGATATAAGTATAGCTGTTCCTGCTTTCTTTTTGGCCCATTTGCTTGTAGGATTGTTTTCCATCCTTTGACTTTGAGCCTATTTTTATCTTTTGTAGCTAAATGTGTTTCCTGGAGACAGCAAAAGGTTGGGTTTTGTTTCTTAATCCAGGCTGCAACTCTGTGTCTTTTTATTGAAGAGTTTAGTCCATTTACATTTAGAGTTAATATTGATATGTTAGCATCTGTATTTGCCATTATGTTTGCCTTTCCTTTGATTTTATTTATTTATTCTTTTAATAACTTTTTTTTTTTTTGGTCTTCTTTCGTTGTTATTCGTCCCTCTGAGGTTCTGGCTTTAGGATTCCTTGTAGTATTTTTTGGAGTGGGGGTTTAGTCGCAATGAAATTCCGGAGTTTCTCTTTGTCTGGGAAGGTCCATATTCTTTCTTCATGGAGGAAAGAGAGCTTTGCGGGATAGAGTATTCTTGGTTGGCATCTGTTTTCTTGGAGTCTGTTGACTATGTCCCTCCACTCTCTCCTTGCCCGTAGTGTTTCTTCAGAGAAGTCTGATGTCAGCCTGATTGGTTTTCCTTTGAATGTTATCTGTTTCTTCCCTCTTGTCAGCTTCATTATTTTTTCCTTGTCCTGGATTCTTGGGAGCTTTACTATTATGTGTCTTACTGTGTTTTTCCTTTCGTCGTGGAAGTTTGGTGTTCTTCTTGCTTCTTGTATATCAATTTTCAGCTCCTTCTTCGCGTTTGGGAAGTTCTCTTCAATTATATCCATGAATATTTTCTCTGTTCCTACATCTCTCTCCTCTCCTTCTGGAATTCCTATAACTCTTATATTTCCTTTCCTCATGGAGTCAGATAGTTCCCGAAGTCTTTCTTCATTCTTTTTCCTTCGTACTTCTCTTTCCTTTTCTGTTTTGGTTCTTTTTATTTCTGTGTCTTCAAGATTACTTATTCGTTCTTTCCATTTCATCTATTCTGCTTTCATTGCTTTTCCCAGAGTTCTTTAGTTCCTCCATTAATTCTTTGATCTCCTGCATTTCTTTTACTTCCCTCTTTAGGGACTCAATTTCCTTCTTCTGATCTATCACTTTTTTAATCATGGCAATTTTAAAATTCTCTTTCTGGAAGGCTCAGAAGTTCTTCCAAGTTGCTGTCGTTGCAATCTGGGGAGTGGTTTTCTTTTTGTGGTGTGCTTCTTTCCTGAGGAGTTGTTAGGTTGCGTGTGGTTCTTCTACTCCCTACTGTCTGTTTTCTAATTTGTCGTATGCGTTGGGACACTGTGTTGCTCGGACTGACTGACATCTTGGGTGAACTTCTCCGCTCCCCTCTGGCTCTTCCAGGAGCCATCTCTGTCTTCTGGGGGAGCTTTCTGCTGGTTTTAGGCAGTTTTTTACTGAAGAAATGTCCCTGTTCTCAAATGGCGAAGCGGGATGCAGTCCCTGCGCCTCCGGTTTCAGGCACACTCTTCTGCGCCCCCGGTCTGCCCCGGACGTGGGTGCCTGCTCCCTCTGTGGGCTCAGACTGCTGGTCGGAAGGGGCCTGGCGTGGAATAACTTCCTGGCTGGCCACTGGGTCCTCCAGAAACCTTCTGCCCTTTTTCAAAGCAGTCTTAAGAAATGTCCTGTTTTATAGGGTGTTAGTGACTTTTTTTTTCCTGGTCGCTAGGGTGGCGCCAGAGATCTCTCCTATTGGCCTTGGGGGGCTGTTTTTCGCCTCCCCCCACTCCGTGGGACAGGGAACAGAGCGGGAATGGTAGGGTACACCTCAACAGCTTTGGGGTGCTGTGTCTGCCTTGTGCCCCACCGTCGTGGAGAAACCACGCCCCGAATTTTCGTGCCCCGGGTCTCAGTTCAAAGCCCTCAGTTCCAGGACGCGGGCTGTAGCCCAGTTCAGTGGCGCGGGAATGGCGCCTTTTGCACAGCTCCCGTGCCTGGGCGCCTGGTTCCTGCTCACTCAGGGAGGGACCTTCATGTGTGGTGATAAATTCTCTCACACTGAGTATGTGAAGTTCTCCATTCATGCTCGGCTACCTGAGGAGTGTCTAGAGAGAATGTCCTGATAATTGACTCTGGGTGTATGAATAGTTACATTTCAAGTAATCTATGGGGAAAGAGATTCTCCCTGAAAGTGGCATAGAATTGTGGAAGATAATTATATATTCATTATAAGTAAGTTATTGTTGGAACAGAGTTTAGAACAAAGAAGGTGATAAGGTAGAAGAGTTGACAGTATAGGAGCATGAAGGGTCTTAGAAGCATGTACTCTGATGGTGATGGGAGGTAAGCAAAATAACTTTAAGCATGCCATCATGATCAAATTTGTGTTGTGTCTTATAAAAATCATCAATTTTAGCAAGAATATGTGGCATTGTAGAGGTAAAAGTTTGTTGGGACAGGAAAGCCATTCAATAAACTGGTGTAAAAGTCCATGTAGGAGCTGAGGGTAGATGGGGATGGATTCCAGAGATATTTAGGAAGCAAAATTTCTGGAATTTGGTGACCAAGGAATAATAAGGATGGGAATAATAATCAAAGATGTTAAGAAAGACTCTAGTATATACCAAATAATTGATGGCAACTCACAAGTGGGATTGATGTGCTGGGGGAGGAACTTTGACTTTCTTTCATTTATGGTCCCATAACAGGGGATAGATAGTAGATAGATAGTAGATAGCTGTTGTGAGTTTTAGTTTTTAACAGAAAAGCATGCATTGCTATTGTAATTTTTTTAAAGATTTATTGATATTTATTTATGCATACAAGAACTGGGTTGTAGGCCAGAGGTGCAGGGGGTGAAAGGATACACCAGGGATAGAGAGGGGAACAGAGCAGGCAGACTGACTGAAATACACTGCTGAGGGGAGCAGTGGGTGAGACAGTAGAGTTCTGCTGTTCCATGTGGGTTAGTTAGCTGCCTGACTGGGGGATCGAACTCATGCTGCAGTGGCTGGTGATAGCTCAAAAGCATTGAGACTTTTTACTGTGCCACTAGGGAGGCCCTGCTATTGTAATTTTTTTTAAAGATTTATTTATGCACACAAGAGCTGGGGGACAGGCCAGAGATGCAGGAGGTGAGAGGATTCACCAGAGACAGAGTGGGGAACAGAACAGGCAGACTGACTGAAATACATTGCTGAGAGGAGCAGCGAGCGCGACAGGAGAGGTCTGCTCTGCCAAGTGGGTTGCTCTCTGGCTGGCAGGGGATCGAACTTGTGCTGCAGAGGCTGCAGATTGCTTCATAGTGTGGTGCTTAACCCCTTGTGCCACCAGGGAGGCCCACTATTGTGGTTTTTAAAGGGAAAAGGGCAAAACTTTCTGATTTGCACAACCAACGAACAGGTTGGAAAGGAAAGAAAATGAGCTCAGTATTTGACAGGCCGAGTTTAGGTGTATGTAAAGCTTTTGAGTGTTATCAAGTTGGAATACTCTTTCCTGGATTTAAAGACTGAAGGGACAATATCATCTAACTCACAGGTGTAAGTCTGTGGATTGAGAAACTAAGGCAGAGCCAAGGTGAGAACTCTAGTGGCTTAACTATTAATGATGATTTTTCCTCCTGTGGAAGGAGAGCTTCTCTGGAGCCATGAGGCAACCTTCAAAGATTATTTGACTAATGCCTTTGCATCTAAGAATAAATTCAATTTAATGAGCTTTGCTCAAGTCTAAGCATAATTCCATGCTTGTCAAGTTAAAGGCCTTTCATGGTCTTAAATGCCGTTTGGGATTTGGGAGATGGCTGTCCTATATCAGTTCTCAGGGTAAAGAGCTATTTGCTTATTTAATCTTCTTATAGTTTGGAAAGCAGATTCATGGAGAAAATGTACAATGCTTTTTGGGACCATCTGAAAGAGCAGCTGTCAAGTATTCCCCCTGACTTCACCTGTGCTCTTGAACTTCTAAATGTAGTTAAGGAGGTGAGTAACCAACTTCCCATTTGTGGACACGAAGTTCCTGGGTATCCCAAACCTTCGGGTTGTTGATGGCTACCAATATCCTAAGTAACATACTTCTTTTCTGAACATTGTCTACTACTTATACAGATAAAATGGAGAAGCTTCCATTTTATTTGTATGAGTTGAAGCTTGAAAGTGGAGATATACTGCTGTAACAACACGGTATATCATTCAAGTAAACAGATTATCACTGAACTCTCACAATAACTTATACTTTTGAGTCAAAGCCTATTTCAAGTGACCCTAAAGGGTTTCTTTACCTATTTCACTTTGCCCTTTTAAGTCAAACAATCTAAAGATGTCATTATCCCTTACTAGAGTGCCTTGTGATGGTCTGTTTTTAAATATTCTTTATATCCTGCACATTTTTAATCACACTTTTAGTTTCATTCATACCTTTATCTTATTCTTTCCAGAAAATGATATTTGCAGTTGGCCCCTAAATAAGAATAATATACTCCATAAAAAATTCAAAGACCTAATTTCCTGACCCCCAAAAGATACAGGCTTGGATGCCTTTGTCTTAAGGGGTTGTTCTTTGGAGAAAGTTGGGCATTCTAAACTTTTGGATTTTCCTTTCTACATAGATTCTGCTATCACTGCTATTGCCACGCCAGAATCGTCTAAGAGCAGAGATTCACGAGGCCTTGGACATGGAGCTCCTCACACAAGAAGCAGAGCACGGGGCCCTGGATATCACTCACCTGTCTGACTACATTCTCAATTTGATGACTTTGCTATGTGCACCAGTGCGAGATGAGGCCGTGCAGAATCTAGAGAACATAAGGGATCCTGTGCAGTTACTGAGGTGAGAAGCTAGATGATCTAGAGGTGAGAAGCTAGATGATCTATTCCTGAAATCTGCCTTAAAACATCATGCCAGAAAACTGAGTCAGATACTGTGTTAGCCCTTGCTTGACTAGCTCTTCTAAACTAAAGAACTGACTAATATGTCTCTTTTCCTTCCTGGATGATTGGCTTCTATTTTTCCAAGGACAGATTCTCAGCACTACTTTGATGATATTTAGATCTGTTGGGGTCCACTGTAGACATGATGTTGCTAAGAATTAGAGTGCAGCATTCTTTCTTCTAGGTATTTCAAACAGCCCTCTCCCAGATCTTCTCCTTAATTTGAGCCCTGTGAGAAGACAGGAACAAAGTTTATACCTATTTCACAGCCAGAAGAATAAAATCCCAGAAAGGTTAAGTGATTTGCCCAGTGAGTTAGATATTCGATCGCCATCAGTATTTGACAGGCCGAGTTTAGGTGTATGTAAAGCTTTTGAGTGTTATCAAGTTGGAATACTCTTTCCTGGATTTAAAGACTGAAGGGACAATATCATCTAACAACTACTCAAATATAGTTGTTAAGGCCCTGGTCATTTTCCTTCCACTGACTGCTCTTTTTCTGAGAAGATAGAATGGCTAAACCAGTAAGAGCCCTAAGACTGTTAGCTAAAAGATGAGAAGACATATATGTCCCTAGCTCTGCCAGCAACTGACTCTGTGGCCTTGGGTCTCTGGCGATTGTATCTTTATTTGTAAACTTAAGTGTGAGTTTTGTTTCTGAGATCCCTTTTAATTCTAAAATACTGTGCTTTTAAGACTCCTTGCTTGTTTCATCTCTCCACACTAGATTTCTATTCATCTCATAAATATTTGATTTCTCCCTATGACAGAGGTATCTTCCGTGTTCTGGGCCTGATGAAAATGGACATGGTCAACTATACAATCCAGAGCCTTCGACCCTACCTACAGGAAAATTCCATCCATTACGAAAGAGCTAAATTCCAGGAGCTCCTTGACAAGCAGCCTAGTATGTTTAAAATTTAAGGGCAGGAAAGGGAGATTTGACCTTGGCCTGACTGCTTAGAGTAATAGAGTATTTTCTATTTTTTAATAGAAAGTTTCTTTCTTAGGTAAGGGGTAGGGGAGAAAGGGTATTTCTCTAAGATAAACATGGGCAAAATCATTTCTTTATTGACTTAAAGTTTATCTTCAAGCACTAGTATTCAAGCCTTGAAGTCTGAAGATACATATTTTTTCCCCTTGTATTTTATAGATCTCCTTGATTGCACTGTAAAATGGCTAACCAAAGCAGCATCAGACCTCACTGCAACGTCTCTGAGTTCCTCAAACTCTCCCACCTTCAACATGACCTGTTCACTTACCAGTCAGGAAGCTCACAAATCAGAGTGCCTCACTCCCACAATGATATTATACCAGGGTTACCTAAACATCCTTCTCTGGGATTCTGAAAATGGAGAGTTCCCCGAGGTAGGAATGTGTGTTGGAGCATTACCTTTCTGTCTGTATTCAATGCTTCCTTTGTAGCCTCCCTCTCATAGTTCCGCTCTTCCCCACCTTTCCAGACACTGATGATGGACAAAATCCGGCTGCAGGAAATGGAGTCTCAGTTGCACCACTTAACCATCTTGGCCTCAGTCTTGTTAGTGGCCAGAAGTTTCTCTGGTAATGTTTTATTCAGCTCACCTGAATTTGTGGATAAACTGAAATATATAACCAAGACCCTAACAGAGGAATTTAATTCCAGGTACGCTTCATAGATCTTTCTTAGACTTGAACATATTATGTGGTGTTTTTTTGGTGGGAGGGGGACATAGACAGATCATGTATTAGTGCTTATTCTTTATCAAAGCCAACACAAAGGACCTTGGGAACCATTTGCAAAGATTGTTGATATCTTTTGATAAGTTGTATTGAGGCTTGAAATAGAGAAAAATAAAACTTCCAAAGAGCAGAGTGTGGAGGCTAGTTTGCTACAAATAATTCATGATCATGTTGCTAAAAATGAGTCATTATATACTTGACTGGGGAGCACTATATTTGTGTGTATGTTTACATAATATATATATATATATATATATATATATATATATATCTCCAGAAGTTGACCAGTTGGTCAATAATATCAATTGATCACTGCATGCAGGATACCATAACTTAAGTAAAAAGAGAAACTGGAAGTTCAGTTCTTAAATATATGTGGTATTAAATAGTGAAGTAGGAAAAACAACCATGAAGAATAGTCAAGGATATCTTAAAACAATAAGTAAAGTTTATGGGGCTAAAGAATACTGAAGAGATCCAAGTTTCAAACCAAACCCCTGGCCAATTTACCTTGTTTTCTTTGAAACGGATTATAGTACTATATGTATGAATTAGCACTTTTAGGGTAGCAACAAAGGTAGTTCAGCTGCCCACTAGGTCCTCTTATCGGTTGGGAGTTGGAATTTCTGTTGTGTGGACCTGGCTTTGCCCCTACGCCAGGGTCACTCTTTTCTATCTTTCATTGTCTAGACCTGATGAGGTTATGCTGAATGTGAGTGAAAAAGTGACTCAGGAAATCCATGACGGCCTCAAAGGCATGGGCCTCACTGTTCTGACCAACGAAAACAAAGCATCTCTTACAGGGCAACTCCAAAACATTGCCAAGAAGGACAACTGTGTTCGTAATGTCATTGGTAAGAATCTTCATGGTGGTGGTGGGAAGGTTCAAGAATGTGTAAGAGGTGTAAGTCGATCCAGCCCTGTAAGTCAGTTACCAGATTATTTGAAAATGGAAACGTATGATCATTGGGAATGTTTCTTCATCCATAATGTGCAGGGCTGAAATGGATCTCTTTCAGTTTGAAGAGTGGATGTATGGTTTTAAGGTGGACCTGCAGTTAAGATATGTCACTTATATGTGTGAGAAACTAGCTCCCTAATTCTACTATGCCAGCCTGGTCATTATTTAATGACTGTCCAAAATGTACATTGGGAAACTTTGTCCATCCCATATGGGCCCTGCTCCTCCAGAACTGATGTTGACTTAGTCTGTAGGATTCCATGGTGAGATGGAAGCAGGGAATTTGGCCAGCTTGCCTCTAACTTTTGTACTGAATTTGGTACGCTGCAGTGTGTACCCTCAGAATTTCAGGTACAGTATCTAGGGTCCTCTTGCTAGGTCAAATGAACCACAGGATCTCACTTAAGGCAATGAAATCTTAAGAATAGCCAGAACTTTACTAGCTCATCATCTTTCAATAATGCATTCTTTAGGAGCCTGATAACATTCCCTCCTCCCAAACAAAAACAAATCTTACATGTTTTACTTGAATAGGTCAGTCAGTGAATATCTCCTTTAACTTAAAACCTTAGTGAAAAGAGAGTACAAGGAGATTGTGAATTTCTTCTGAAATTTCTTTGATTTTCCACTTCTCTCTCTCTCTCTCTCTCTTTTTTTTTCTTTCTTATAGATCGACGGATTCGTCTGTTTCTCAAATGCTGTTTGGTTCGTGGCATGCAGGAGTCTCTGCTAGACTTCCCCAGAAGCTTAATGCTCATTGAAGGGGAGCTGACAGAACTAGGCTGGAAGTTTGTCAATCTGATGCATCACAATCAACAGGTCTTTAGCCCTTACTATACTGACATCCTGGAAAATATCATCAATCCAGCTGAGGCATGTAAAACAGAATCGAAACCTACCCAATAGTGCTGGATCCCAGTTATGGATCCAGGAACCAAGGGAGAGGGCTTAGCATGTTCCTGGGAAGAGAACACCTGTGGCCAGTGGAGCATCCTATCCTCTTCCTCACGGCAGCCAGCAACCAGCACACAGAGCTGCAAGGTTCAAGCACACACTCACACTAGCTGGCCCAACCCCCTTCATTAAAATAAACTTTTGAGCTGTGAGAAAACCCTTTTTTCTTTTGTGTTGCAACTGAATCCAGATTCTGTGCCCTGATCCCCACTAGCTGAGAAGCCAGTGGGCCCTCAGTTTTCCTTTCATTGGAGGATCACTCTTCAACACACTGGCTTGAGAAGGCAGCATAGCATCAGGGGCAGCATTTTCTCCAATAGAAAAGTATTTTTCTTGGGGGATAAGCAAACTCTTTGCGAAATTATTCAGACTGTTAGTGAAAGTGCTTCTGGAAGTCAAATTCACTAAGTCAAATTCACTTCAAGAGGAGACATAGATCCCCATTTCCAGCACCACATTTTCCTCTAATTTTATTTATTTTAAAGATTTATTTATTTATGCATACAATAACTGGGGTACAGGCCAGCGGTGCAGGGGGTGAGAGGATTTACCAGAGACAGAGCGGGGAACAGAATAGGCAGATTGACTGAAATACACTGCTGAGGGGAGCAGCGGGCGAGACAGGAGAAGTCATCTGCACCATGTGGGTCACTTCCCTGGCCAGCTGGGGATCGAACTCATGCTGCAGAGGCTGTGGATAGCTTCATAGTGCTGTGCTTAACCCTATGCGCCACCAGGGAGGCCCTCCTCTTAATTTTAAAGGATGCAGCCAGTAGTAAGAGCTCCCACTTCCTATTCAAGTACATGGCTTGAAGCAGTATGGAAGTTGAGAAGTGGGTGAAAGGTGGTTACTAGCAGGCATTCAATTCTCTTTTGTTCCCCTCCCTCATGTGAACCTCATGGCAACCACAAAGCAAAAACCTATAGTAAATGCACAAAAGATCAAGGGAAAGTAATATGCACACACCACTAAAGGAAGTCCTAAACCACAAAGGAAGAGAGCAATGAAAGAAAAGAGGAAGAGAAGACCCACAAAACTTAGCCACTTTTTTTTTCCTGCTTGGTGGAATCTGCAGTTGATGCTCTCTTATATTTTGCAGTTCATTTGTTGTATTCTTGAGTTCCAGAATTTCTTTGTGGTACTTTTTAAAGCTTTCTATCTCCTCCTTGACCTTCATTTCCTAACTTCATTTGAGTTGTTTATATGTGTTTCTTCGTAGCTGGCCAAGTCCTTAAAACAACTATTTTGAATTCTTAGCCAGGCAGTTCTTTGCTTTCATTTCTATGAGGTCAGCTACTGGAAAATAACCTTGTTTCATTTATGCTTTTGAGAGTTACCTTGTCCCCCCAAGGCTCATGTTGCTGTCTTCACATTTGAGGAAACAATCACTTCCTCCAGACTTTATTGATTTTCTCCAACACAGAGAGGCCTTCCCAGGTTAGCCAAGCTGGGGGTCCTGGGCGTCTCAGAGACCTTTTCTATGGGCCAACCTGCTGCACTCCTCTATTTTCTCATCGAAGGAAGTGTTAGGATTGTGTGCCTTCTTTCTTTTGCATAAAGCCAGAACACAGCCTGAGAGCCTCAAGTCCTAGGGCAGTACCCTGAGGCAGTCAAGACCATGCCTTCTCCCAATTCAGCAGGGTTGAGCCGGCTCTCTATAGGTGCTCAGGCATGATCTCCAGAGGCTCCAGTGCATGATCTACAGGGGCATACCTGGGGCATCAGCTGGGGGTGGGGTGGGGAGAAGGGGCATGCAGAGTACTGGGGCGGGTCATGGGCTAGTGTGGTTTCCAGAGCCTTGCATTCTCTGTGGTTTGCAAGTGAACCTCTTGGTAGAGTCCATAAAGGGGTTAGTAGAAATTGGGGCCCTTTGTTGAATTTCAAGTTCCATTTGCTGTGAGACCTTGCAAGATTCCCCTGCTCTTTGCTGTCTGCAGACAATTCAGCCGTGCCACTCTTCTCCGTGTTCTTGGTGTGACAAGAAGGAAGTGGGCCTTTGGGGAGCATCCTGCATGGAGGGGAAAGCCAGGTGCTCACTGTACACTCCCTTTCCACCATGGGAGGAATAGAAGTTTGAGGGTTCTCTCTCTTGCCACTGAGCTATGCAGTCTTGCAAGAGGGGTGACCTTGGCAAAGTGAAATTGTTCTTCATACCCTCTTCAACGTGTCTGCTCTTGGGTTTTCTTTTTATTCCAAGAGGGTAGTGGACTGAACACCTGAGCTGCCACAAAGGTCCTCCTGTCTGTGTATGATTGTCAGAGTCAGCCTTTATTTGGGGGGGCAGGGATAAGGACTGAAAACTGTTCTGGCAGCTTGTGATGTGATGTCACATTCTAGATGGATTATTTGAGCAGCAAAATGTTTGAATGCAAACGAGTCAATCTGGAATAATGTTAATTCTCTCAAGTAATTTAAAAATGGATGAGCCACAGTTATTTATTTTTAATAAATTTATTCGCATAGTTTTTTTTCTTCCCAAAAAGGTACTGGAGGGCCTCCCTGGTGGCTCAAGGGGTTAAAGCACAGCACTATGACGCTATCCACAGCCTGTGCAGCATGAGTTCGATCCCCGCCGGGCCAGGGAGCTACCCACATGGTGCAGCAGAACCTCTCCTGTCTCGCCTGCTGCTCCCCTTAGCAGTGTATTTCAGTCAGTCTGCTCTTCTGCTCCCCACTCTGTCTCTGGTGAAACCTCTCACCCCCTGCACCTCTGGCCTGTACCCCCTTTCTTGTATGCATAAATAAATAAATCTTTAAAAAAAGGTACTGGAGAATCATGCCCTCATAATTGACACAGCTCAAAGTGTGGAATCCCGGCCTTCTCACTCCCATCCATCCTTTGCCTGGAAGAAGTTTGCACTATGGATGTAATTTTCCATGTATATGCTTTGGAAAGTCCCCAAGGAGTCAGCCTCTTGCCTACATCAGAAATTTAAATTGTGAGGGGACTACCTTCAGCACTTTGCCATGGAGCAGAATCTGCAACTGCTTCTCTTTCCCAAATTGCTTAACACTGGTAATAAAGTTACTTCAAGATAGTTAATTTCACAAAGGAACAACAAAAAGCATGTTTTGAATATGATTTCCATAACGATACAGACCCATCTGACGATATCTCCTTTTACTGTTGCTAGGTGAGTCAATCTTGCCTTCTGAAAGTAAACTCCCATGGGACATCTAGATTAGTTTTCCACATTTGCATTTGAACCCAAAGCATTTAACTTAACATCACAGCTATCCTGTTACGCCCATTTTCCACTTCTGTGTTAGATAAGCCACTCTTCCCAAGCCACTAACATTCATCCCAAGATGCCAAACAGAACAGAAAATCAGAAAAGAGAAAAAGTTCTTCTCATTACGTAATGAGGTCACATGCAAGGGAAATGCCTTAGCATCCTGCCACACCTAAATAAGCACAGCGCCTGATAAACGTCCTTCCTAGCCGGGACCTGAGACGTCCATCATGCGCCAGAGTCACCTCCTGCTACAAGGTATTCTAGACAGTGCTCACCGCTTCCCATGGAAGTAAGCAAATGACTTTTAAGAGGACCTGAGAAACTTCTGATAATCATCTCACAGAAAGATTGATTTAAGTATCAGGTCTGATGGAGCTGAACCTGAGTTAAAGAAAGCCATTGTTAGCATCCCTAGATTTGCCTTTTGGTGAAAGAAGCTGAACACAGGTGGGCTAGATGAAGTTCTCGGGCATCTTTGGCTGTTCATGTCTATTACTACGTAATCTTGGGAACCGGGTGTGGGACTGGTATCAGGTCTTCATGTCAGGTTCCATCCTGTATAGTGGATGCGCCCTCTACCCAAATGAATGTTCCTCAATAGTCTCCCTTGCAAACAAGTATATGCCTCCAATTTTGTATCCTGAATTGACATGTGTCCAAAATAATTCTCCCAAATTAACCAAAACCTACTGACCTGCCCACACACTGTCTTTGTATTCTTCACTCCAAGCATCGCGACTTCCTTCAATAGACCAAGAACCCCACACAAATCTCTAGTCCTCCTTCCGTACTTCAAATTGAAACACAAAAGAAAAGGCAGTTAATTTATACAGTAATGCCACATTGCCGAGAACTAGCCAACTAATTCCAACACTTGGATAGTACTGCTTGCCTAGGCCAGCAAATCAGAAAGATGGCATCACATGTAATTCGGACAGATGAAGTTGCTGTTTCTCACGCCAATCAGCAGAACTGGTATTCCTGAAAATGCTGTTTTAAAAATCCGACCACATATGTTTTGTCACCTGTTCTCCTTTCTTCAGCATTTCTGGGGAGGCACAGACAGAATATCAAAATGTCACACTTTAACACTTTAACAGATTCCATGCATGTGTAATTGTTGTCATTCCACAAGGGGGCAAGTATGATGTTTATGATGTTTCACTTTAGGATAGTTCACTTCTCTGCTTTTATTTAAAAGAAAGGAATGTTTTCATTAACATCAAGCACTTTATATGCTCCTCTAATTAACAACTGTCTCACCTATTAGTGATAGGTTTGTATCTGGACATAAACCTTAATTAGAGGGCACTACGTTGATACAGCTTTGGTTCTAACTACTGAGAGAGAGCACTATTTAGCGGTATTTCAAAGAACTCTCCAACAGCTCAACTTTTTATGACCTGGGGCTAGTAGTCCTGATTTTGTGAGTCAGTAAGACTGAACTAACCTTAAATTCCTACGAGGAACCAGGTGAGTGACCAGAATACAGTCTGGAGTCAGACTGCCTGTGGGCAGCTCTTAGTTTGCCACCTACATCTGTGAACACCTACATCTATGAACTATTAGGTGAGTGATTTGATAAGTAGCTGCATACATCCACTTCTTCATCTGGAGAGTTCTGTAACAGTGTCAAATCCATAGAGTTAGTTGCCGCCCTCAAGAGTTGTCCTTTGAAAGTGCAGGGCACATAGTAATCATTGCAACATAATTTTTGTCAAACCAACCACTAAAATCAATGAGATTTGCTTGATTTCCTTTAGATATGCATGAAACTGAGTCGACACTTAGAAGTATCCACCGCTTAGGCTCTTACAGTATCTTCTCTAGTGTGTCAGTGATTACAGTTTACAGAAGAATGTGTTTCCCTGTTATGTCTTTCATGTGTTACGTATTAAAATTCATTTTATTTCGG